TTTTTTTTTAAGGTATCAATATCTTATTTTAATTTCTCAAAATAATTAGTTCGCCCAAAAGCTAGACGTGGTTTTAGTTCTGTGTTGGTGTCTGCACACCTTTGCAGCACAAAGATGTGCCTATTCTTGGATTTCACAGTGTCTAGATAGGCGCGTGTGTGTGTATACACATACAGGTAGTCATACATAATAGCACAGAGTTCATCTTATTTTTTCAGTGTTAATTTTTACAGTTTTGTGCATTTTTAGCTTTGTAAGGTCTCATTAACAGCTTTTGCATTGAACTTAGTTTTGAATGGTTGAATTACCTCTTAGTGCTTAGAAACATTTGTCAGTGGCAGCATGCTCAATTAATAAAACATCCTTGACATGCCTTTATCAGTAGGTATTTTTCTGGAATGCAGCCTTAAAAATAATTGGTAGAATTGCACCTGCTATATTTTTAATTCACCTTTGTTTTGTTATTAACTGTTCTTTTTAAAGAGAATGATCAAAAAAAGAGAGAGTATTAGAGAATTAATGGAATTGTTATTTAGAATCTGTTGCTGTGCAGACAGTGAATTATGAAGAAGTCCAGAATAACTCAGTGCAGAGCTTTTAAGTGCAATATAGACATGTCCTTAGTCACTTAAAACGGGAGTCTGTTTAGGATGAAGATAGAACAACCTTATCTCTGCTTTTAAGTATTTTGGCTTGCACAGGAAAGGCTAAATAACACCCAAATAAATTATTCATTTTTTAGCCTTCCTTTCTTTCTCTCAACAGGCAGCAAAATCTTAGAAAATGGCCTTCTCTTCAAAGAACTCCTGCAGACTCCAAACTTCCGAATAACTGTAGTAGACGATGCAGATACGGTTGAACTTTGTGGTGCTCTGAAGGTAAGGTACAGGTACAGGTGGCAGTTGGTACACAGATGGAATGGTGATCCTTGTGGAAAAAAGAGGGTATTTTCATTTAAAGAATTTAGTTTGTTGTGCTTTTTGTAATATATAAAGCTGCTACATAACATTTCCGGAAGAACCAGATGGGAAATTAGGGAGCAGCATGTTCTGAGAGTTGGCTTTTAGACCCTTGTCTCATCATCTCCCAAGTTCTCTTTCTACGTGTTTCACTTAGCTTACACACAGTAATGAAAAAAGTGTTGATTTCATGTAACTGCCTGTCGTGGTTTAACCCCAGCCGGCCACTGAGCACCATGCAGCCGCTCGCTCGCTCCCCCCGGGTGGGATGGGGGAGAGAATCAGAAGAGTAAAAGTGAGAAAACTCGTGGGTTGAGATAAAGACAGTTTAATAGGGAAAGCAAAAGCCGCGCACGCAAGCAAGACAAAACAAGGAATTCATTCACCACTTCCCATGGGCAGGCAGGTGTTCAGCCATCCCCAGGAAAGCAGGGCTCCATCACGCGTAACGGTTACTTGGGAAGACAAACGCCATCACTCCGACCGTCCCCCCCTCCTTCTTCTTCGCCCAGCCTTATATGCTGAGCATGACGTCATATGGTATGGAATAGCCCATTGGCCAGCTGGGCCAGCCGTCCCGGCCACACTCCCTCCCAGCCCCCCGCGCACCTGGCAGGGCACGGGAAGATGAAAAGTCCTTGACTAGCGTAAACATTACTTAGCAACAACTAAAACATCAGTGTGTTATCAACACTATTCTCATACTACATCCAAAACACAGCACTATACCAGTTAATAGGAAGAAAATCAACTCCATCCCAGACAAAACCAGGACACTGATCAACATGTTTCTAGATCCGTTTTAGTTCCCTTTTTTCCTTTTTGCAACAGTGTGTTCACAAAAAGAAAGGGAGACGCAAGTTGGCATTAATCCTTTGTGTCTGTTAACAAAACTATTCCCCTCTTCGTTGTCTTACACAATGTGAGCACTCTTATGTTTTATGTTTTGTGGACATACACTGCATAAAGTTCGTGTGGTTAACCACATACAGAAATGACCTGAATAGGAAAAAAGTTATTTCGGACAGTTACTCATCTGGAATTTTTTTGGTAACAAAATTGATGCTGACAGAAAGCACCGGCTAGCTTAAACATATTCTTACTGCTATTCTTTTCAGATTAATTTACAGGCCATTTGTGAAAGGAAAGCATTAGTCGCTTGGCACCCTGGCAAATAGTACTGTAGTTCACGTTATCTGGTATCTATCATGGAAGCATTTCTGATGGGTGTAGTGGTTTAGTAGATAATTTGGCTTACTTTTTTATTTTTTATGTTTTGGATAATTTGTTTTCTCTGTTGAAATTATGTGTAAACTACACCATTCACTTGCAAAGCTACCAAGCCAATGAATGATGTTTTTAAGCTAAGGAGTTCTGATTCCTGCTCAGCAAAATAATAACATAATTTCTGGCATACTGGTTTTCTTGATAATTTTGTCTTGAGAGCTGTCATACTGGAAGTCCTGAGAAGGAGGAGGTCATGGGTCTGTGCCCTGGGCTAATGGGATACACTTCAGTGTAACATGCTTTGGAGTTACTGTATTTATAGCAATTTCTTAAGATTGTGGAGCTTGTAATTTGGCTCCACAGCCATTGCTTTAAAAAGCTGTGGTGATGTGGGAGGTTAGCAGGAAAGAAATCCCTGTGTATAGACCCATGAAATTAGTCAAAAAGTTTTTTACAAATTTATTTTTCTTTGAAATCTGCTCAGCCTGATGTTTTCTTGCTTAAATTCTTGCTTGATAAAGGAGTTCTGTCCCAGGTAATTTTTATTCCAGACAAATCTTGTGAAAGGGCATTAGAGATGAACGTGCCCATCAAACTGAGCAGCTAGTCAGCAGACACTCAAACTCCACTGTAAAGGTCCAAGTCAGGCAAGATACCAGTATCTCTTCGGAAGTGCAGAAGAATTTAAATAAATTGTTCTTGACTTGGAAAGATACTGAGGTGAAACCTGTGTATTTTCTTTGTAGCCTTGTTTTGTTCCTCCCTCCTGCTTCATTATTCATCATGCATCCTGCAGACTGAACTCTCTAGTTGCATTTCTGAAAAGTTGTATATATTCTGTGTGCTCTGGTCACTTGGTTTTGGTTGCAGTATGTTTTGTTAACTGAGTTGAGACTTCCAAAGAAATACATGGTATGAGCTCTAAACAAAAAGCGAATTAAGGATAGATTAACTTGTTTAAAAATACTATGGATTTCTTGCCTGATTAAAAGGCATGAACTGGTATAAAGTGGCATAGATCAGTCATGCTAGTATAGGGGATGTGTTTTAAACATACAACTCTTCCTTAATCTCAAAGAAAATTTTATTAAAACCCTATTTTTAAAAGTAATTTTTCATTTAAAACCCTTTCTAGTTTAATCCTAAATCTTGTGCTGACAGCATGTAAATAATTTCCTGAGCTGTTTTTAACTCGAACATTGCAAAATTTTATTAATGCATTGGGAACATGTATGCCTCTGAAAGAAAATGAGGAAGCTAAAATTAAACAAATGGGTATGTTTTTATTGCCTGTGCAAAGCAAAATGCAAAGCTCAGATGTGAATAGTGAAATGTAAACTTGAGCTTTTTTTCTTAAAAGTTGTACATTCTTATTAGGAGAATTGTTTGCTAAGGGTAACAACAAGCACTTTGCTTTTTTATGATTTATCTGATAATATTTGTAATACAAAACATGAAAAATAAGCTTCTTTTCGTGTGATTGTTTTTAGGGAAAAATCTGAAGTGTAGCTTCCATCAGCTGACAGTTACTTTATTAAACCTGGAAAGTTACTTCATGAAAAAATAGTAAAAATTAGCATTATTTAAACTGTTGGAAGGAGGAAATTCCCATTTCAGAAGATGACAGTGTTGTGTTGTGTGAAGAGACAGGTGTAAAAAAGAGGTTCTACTCTCTTTCTATAGTAGTGACAATTCAAAATGTCAGCAGTGTCACTGCAAACTACAGCTTAGAGGACAGAAGTAAGCAGGCACACATGCCAGTCCAGACTGTCTTTTTGGATGTGGAAATAGCAAAAGCAACTCCTGTATTCGTATGTAAAGGATTAGAATACTACATTATGAGAAGTAGTATATTCTCCCAGCTTCTGCATTTTTCTATAAATATCAGCTTGGGAAAAGGAGACTTTTCTGGTATTTCTGGCATATTAGACTAGATCTTGTTAAAAGTCTATACTTACCTCACGCTTTATTTCTGCAAGCCTTTCTAAGCAGGGAAGATTTTCAATGTTGGATGGTTGCCTAAAGGTTGGGAAAAAATACAGAAACGTAACAGAGAGTGCTCTGAGCACAGCTTTCACTTACAATAATGATAATTTTAGGTTTGAAATTTGTTTTTTGAAGCATACTTGAATTCAGACTGTAATAATAGGTATTGCAGCTGGGTGATCATGAAAGAACATGTGCTTGATTGCTATTTATATACATATATGCATATATATATTGAATATCCACTTCATTTACTGTATTTATTTTTGTGACAATGGGCTGATGGACATGCACTGAAGTATAGGAGTCAGTGCAGTGAAACTGCAGTCTTGTGTCAACTTGGGGACTGGCTGGAATGGCAGCCACTTTACAAAATCTGATGATACTGAGGAAGAACAGCTGTCTATAGTAACTTGTTGGCTGTAGGAACAAAAAGTGCTTGGGGTATTCTTCTTTATCAGGATATTTTTCTTTTAAGAACTGAAGAACATTTCACATTTATTTGTTGACCTTTTCTAAGGGTTGAGGTCAGAAATTAAGAAACTTCAAATTTGGATGGTTCAGTTTCAAGGTGTCCAGTTGAGTTTACAAGCAGCCTGACCCAAGGCCACCTACAAATTTCAGCTGCCATTTGCCAGACAATGAAGGGGCCTTCCTAGGAGGTGCTTAAAGGTCATGACACCACTGTAAGAGTAGTGTGTGCAGCTATGCGTACATACGGATGTGCTCCTGGATGCTGATGGATGTGATACTGCAGAGTAGCACAGACCCAAGGTTATCACCTCTGGGGTATCCGTAGAGTCTTTAGTGCCTGTGCTAGTGTGTGGTCTTACAATCAAACAGCACAGACGTGAGGCAATACTAAGCTGGTGTACGAACCCAGCAGCATACTTAAGAGGCAATATAAACACGGGTAGCTCCATTCTTGGGTGTAAAGTGTACTGGAATCACTTACCCAGTGCAGCGATGACAGGGGTGAGTATGAGGGCAAGAGAAGTGAGAATCTAATCTCTGGATATGGCAAAATGGCCACGTTCCAGCTGCCTGGTGTATTTGTTTGGGGATCTGGAGAGTTGAACTCCCTCAAGTGGCAGCAGCCAAGGCGAGCAGAGGTGACAGTTACTGTAGGAAGGAGAAGGAGCAGCAGCTGTGGTGGCCTTTCAGGTTGCTTCAGGCCCATCTCTAAATCTTATGGCTCCAGCTTAGCCTTAAGCAAAGAAGTAAGAAGTATAACAATGATGTATTGTTTACCAGGTTATGTAACCCAGCATTATTACTTACAAAGGTGGTCCTGCAAAGTGTGTTTATGGCAGTCACTGTTGGATAGTCAGTCTAAGTACTGTAGAAGTTGATTATTAGAAGTGGTAATTACTCTTTCCTGAGATTAAGTGGAAATAAATCCATTATTTATATTCAGGTTTGCCAGGAGCAAGCAAGCAGTTTATGCTTAACCTCTCTGACAGTTCTGCTGATACTGTCTTTGATTTCTTGAGTCTTCATTTGACCTCTCTCAGCCATGTTGTGAAACAAGGAGCTTCTCCAAATTCATGTGTAAGTAGGAGGGAAAGCAGGCTGTGCTGAGCTGTGACACTACCTCAAGGAAGGCTGGATGTCCCAGGTGAATTAACATTTCTGCTTAGTTCTCTAATGATCCATTTAATTATGGAGAGGTAATGGTTGCCTCAGAAATGGCCTCTGAAGCTGTCTTCATGAGCACTCCACAAACTTACTGTAAACAGAGTAGTACTGTAAATTGAGTATTTCTGAGCACTGACTGTGTAAGAGAATAATCTGTCAGCAAAGTCTGTGGACAGTTAACCTTGGTTCCCTGATCATCTACTGATCTTGCATTTGTGACCTCTGGCATGTTTGCAGCAGGTCACGTGCAAGTAAAAGACACTTTTTCTCATTTGCTCTTACACACATTGTGAGCACTGCGTGGCATCAACTTTTTTTTTCTGGAGTATAGCTTCACTATCTCGATGATAAAATAACTGAGTCCAGTCCTTGCTCATGTTCTAGAATAACTAGGACAAGGACTAACGCCAGCTTCTGGATACCAGACCAGCAAAAAACTCGCCTGTTAGTGCAAAGTATTTTGGTAGCTTAAAAACATATGCAATATAAAAACACCTTGTGCATCTTGCTTACAGGATGCATGCTTTAACGTAAAAAGCTGTTAATGCCGAGATGGGGGAAATGTGTTTGTTCAAGCGTGAGGTGGTTTTGAGAGCTCTGAATCCCTCAGGCCAAGAGGAACACTGCGTTGCAGTCATTTTGGGGTGGTTGTGACAGTATTTGTGAACCTTTGGAACAACAGGTTTGTCTGTAGGCTGAAGTTGTCCTTGCTTATTGGGCCCTCAGACCCCCATGTTATGTATGCAAATGCAGTCAGTCTTTGAGCTCATGGAAATGTGGGCTCTCTCCTCTTGCATAAATGTATACCCACTGCATTTGCAGGAACTCTTGTAACTTCAAGTGCAGGCTTTGGCAGTGGCAGTGTTCAGGATCAACCATATCAGACACAGAAAGATGTTTTGGCCAGATAGATGCGCGATTCTCCCTCCACCCCAGTCTGCTTCTCAGAGGATCTCAAAGGATCTGAGTACTATCTCAGAGTGCTAGTGCCATTAGGATCTTGTGTGTTAATTTGTGTTTTGCTTATGCATGTTCCTGAAACAAACTCGACTTAGTGCCTGCACCCAGAGATTTCAAGTACCAAGCTGCCTGTTTTGGTCTTGTTTTAGACAGAAGGATGACTCAGTCTCAAGTTTTGTGAGGTTTTTTGTTGTTGTTTGTTTTTAAAAGGAGTGGCTCGTCTTTCAGTAAGGTGTAACTTTCAATGTGGTATAATTCAGTTCTCTACAGAATATTACGAGAGAGTTGTCATAGATTCTTCAAGGATTTAAATGAAACCAGATGGTAGAGCTTGTAAATTCATAGTTGTGGCCTGAGAGTTACGTAGACTAGGATATAATAGTCTCCTAGGTGTGGGTGTGTGTTCTAGAGCATAATCAGTTGTCTTGTTTTCTCATTATTTGCAAACTATGTGTAAGAACATACAATGGGACATTGTACAAACAAGAAGCTTAATGTTTCAGTTACAACTTCTCTTCTTCCCTATCCCATTTCCTCAAAAGTAACTAGTCTTGGCATGGCTTGCTTAAAACAATATTTCTGTTGCTCCAAAGACAAGCATTGCAAAAGATAGAAGTAAACAACAAAATACCATAGGCCAAATCGTACTGTAAATTATGATCATGTAGGCTGCTTCAAAGTGGGAAGAAAAGTCAAAGCAGGCAAAGTTGGAGAGAAGGGGAAGCTTTAGTATTGGAGTGTTCAAGAAGTACATGGAAAAAGCTCAGAGGTTGTTCAAAAATGTTTCTGTTTTTAGCTGAGTGCTAAACACTTGCAGACTTCACTTATGCGCAAATTCAATTTAAATTGGTTACCCTGTCTGAAAACTTCTTAAATACCTGTTTGACTTCCTCTTGCTTGCCACCAAATGAACAAATATTGGAGATTGGTCTGGGAGAGGTGTCCGATAAAAACATACCTTGACTGAGTCATCAAATCCAAGATTTAAGCCAAGATGATCTAAAGCACCAGCTTTAAAAGTCTGATTGTCTTTTGCTGCTTCAGCTCTGATGCTGAGATATGTCTGCAATTTTTAAGGTCACCTTTAGACCTCAGCTAGCTACTCAAAAAGCACTGACTCATCTTCTGACCTCATTTAATTGAGAGTCGCCTAGACATGACTGGCCATGCAGCACTGCAGCTGCCTGCAGTTTTTGGTTCTTACAGTTCAAAAAACAAACCAAAACTGGCTGTTAATCAGTTTCTTGCTTTCATTAGCAACTTCTAACTGTTGCTGTTTCTTCAGCAACAGTTAAGGTTGGTTTGGTTGTTTGGGTTCTTTTCCCTGCATCGGGTGCGATATTAGGTGCCATAATGTTGGTTTTCCTGTGGTTTCTGTTGAGGTCACTGCTGCTGTTGTTGCATGCAGAAAGGTATTACTACATCTATTGCTTCCTTGTTTGCTCTATCAGTACGTCAGAATGCCATCTCTTTTGGAGTGTTTTGGTTTCTGATAGAGTTGGGGTTTTTTTTGGCAGGGGTAAACTAACCATGGCTAGTCTCTGACTCCCAGACCAGAAAATAGCTTTTATAGTCACTTCACTCAAACATATCTCAACTAATCTCTATGTTTGTAAACCAAAGAAGGGACTGTATAGCTGATTGTTCACAAAGAAACAATACATTCTTTGCAGAAGGCTGTCACCAGGTCTAAGGAAAAAAAAAAACCCAACATTTTTTGTTTAGGAAAGGTCTTCCTGTATCATGAACCTTCTGGGAACCCTTGATTAACTATTACTGTTATAGGAACTCTGCATACTTAAAAGGGCTGAGTACGATTAGCTTGGCTGAATTTGGTCCCTTAGCATATCAGCATGGAAGTCAATAAATGTTTCTTAGTTTCAGTATTACTTTAATCATAAAGAAAATGTGGATAAATGGGCTGTGGGATGTCAGTCTAGCTTTACCCCTACCTCAGGGCAGGAACAGCTCAATCTAGATAAAACTTTGTTTGGGTGCAGTGTTTGTTCTTGAAGATAGTCAATAATAATAGCTCCACAGCCTCCGGGGCAACTTGTTCAGAGCTTTAACTATGCTTTATCCTTGGAAATATTTAATAATGTAAGACTTGTCATCTTTTTTTTTTTTTTTTAAAGGTTATCCCATAAACCCCAAAACCAAAAAACAAAAAAACCCCCAAAAAACCCAAAACAACAAGCTAGTCTTACATTAATAAAGTATTTGCAGTTCTTAAGGACATCTGTACTCTGTCTTTTGGTGTCTCCTAGGATTCTGTAAGCAATAATTGACTCATTTCCCATTTGTTTTTTCTCATCAGAATATAGTGGCAGTAGGAGCGGGGTTCTGTGATGGCCTTTGCTGCGGTGACAATACCAAAGCTGCCGTTATTCGCCTTGGCCTAATGGAGATGATTGCCTTTGCCAGAATTTTTTGCAAAGGACAAGTGTCTACTGCCACTTTCCTGGAGAGCTGTGGAGTTGCTGATCTCATCACAACATGTTACGGTGGCCGGAATCGACGTGTAGCAGAAGCATTTGTTAAAACTGGAAAGGTACCTTATTCACTGGGTGAAATCCATTGTTGCAAGTACTAGCACTCCTGGTTTGTGGAGTAATAGTACAGTTATCTGAGACATGCTAGCTGTACTGAGTGAACGCCCTTCTCTTTCCTCTCATTTTTGAGTGTGTTACAAGGCTAGAATGAGTGTAAAGGTGTTAAAAAGGAGGGGTGATAAAAAAAAAAAGCTGGAGGGATAAGATGTTGGGAGATGCAGATTTAAGAAGGAGAATATTTACAAACAACAATATAGGAGAATATTATATATGCTTACTCAAGTATACTTTTGAGAAAGGAAAAACCCTCAGTAACATTTTTTTTTTCCCATACAGATGATGATGTCAGGCTTATGAAAACTTTATCATAGCTCTCCTTTTCTTCCTTTCCCCCCCCCGCCCCGTTGTTTAGTCTATTGAAGAATTGGAGCAAGAAATGTTGAATGGTCAGAAACTGCAAGGGCCACAGACTTCTGCAGAAGTATATCGTATCCTCAAGCAGAAAGGAATGCTGGAAAAGTAAGTAAGAATGGACAAAGCAAATTCCACATACCCCTTTTTTATCTCCATAACTCTTTTTGCATTTTTAGTCTTAAATCTTCATGAAGGTAATAGCCAAAAAGAAAATCACTGTAATAAGAGTAGCTTAATCCCCAGTTAAAAATCACAGAGAGAAGTGAATAAAACCTCAAAATAATATTGCTGTAGATAGAGCTAATAGTGTGACATTAAATTTGTAAATTTTACAGAATGTATTATTGCCTCCTGCTATCATAGAAAAGCATAGCAAAGTGTGTTTTAACATGTGAAAAGAATAAAATACATGAAAATAGAAGCTGAGCTTCCTAAAGAGAGTTGTGAAGAGGCTCTACAGCTAATTTCATAGTAGTAAATTAATTGCTTATCTCCAAGGAGAGGATCTTTGTTATTAAGGATCTGTATAGCTGATCAGCTGAACAGAGTGTCTGCTTCTGTCCACATGGATTCTAGCTTAGATACAGCAGTTCTCTTTCCTAATGTGACTTCCAGTTTGCTGTAGGATAAAATCTGATATCTGCTTGTGTAGGTCAGGGTTTTTTGGGTTTTTTGTGGTATGAAATTAAGAAGTTGTCCTGGCTTGTTCATTTGTATTCAAGTCAGAACATGTATGATTCCTAAAGCCACACACACAGTTGTCTCCTTATGAGATTAGGGGATGCATTATCTCTATCTGTTCCTGTTTGTAGAGGAGGCAAAATAAGAAAATAAATGACTGCTAGTCAGAAGAGCAAGCCTTGTTACTTTTTTTTCCAAAGCAGTTTTTAAAGTCTAGTTTTAATGGATCAGCTGCATTAAGTGGCTTATTTTTTATCTTTGGGAGTAAGGCACCTAAGTCTGTCTCTGCAGTGTACAGTAGTTAAGCTAACGGCAGGAAAAAATCTAATTAAAATGTTGGCTTCAGGTTTTGCTGCTTATGATTCCCTAAATGAGACAGGATGCTGTGTTTGGGGATTTTTTGGTTGGTTGGTTGGTTTTTTCCCTGTTCTGTCTTACAACAAACAGAGTGCATTACAGAAGACTTTGGGTTGTGTTTTTAAAGAAAGATGTGAAAACAGAGAGTTGCTAATTTCTTTTTGGTATATCAACATATATATGTCAGTTCTTCATGAAAGGTCTCTTTCAACAAGGCTTTAGAAAGCAACTTTCAAAGTTTTTTGAAAACTCCCTTGCTACTGCTTTAAAACACAAAACACAAAACAGTAAACCAGCCATGGTTTCAAAGTGAAGAGGAGGGAGTCTAGTAAAATTTCATACTCTCATCCAACAAAAAGAGTCCCAAAGCTACGTAGAAATATGCAAAAGTCAAAGTTCAGTAGAAGAGCCTTGGTAGCAGGGTTGATGCCTATTGATACTTATAGTGCAATTCGTTTTTTCATTTCAACAGTTGTAGAACTAGCCCTCTTAATGTGCTCAGACATAAGATGCATTTGGAGTTTGCTGGCCATGAGCCTCCAGTCAGCCTTGATTCTGCTTTCTCCATGTGAAGTGTGGCAGGCTGGTGCACAGCAGAATAATGTTCTCTGTGATAGAGAGCAAGACTTATGTATCACGATGTGGTTTGTAGTAGTGGTAGTTCTTCACTGAGAAGTAACTGCCAGTACTGTACCTAAAGCTATGTGAAACTTGCTTTTGCTTCAGAAGGTTCACGTGTTTTGTGGCTGCCTCTAGTAAAAGCTCACATAGGCATAAAAAATTTTATTTCAGTGCCTACATTTAAGTTTTTACGGTAAAAGCAAATTCAGCTCCTCCCCCAGCCCAATATATTATACAAAATGAGTGATAAGTGAGGCATGTTACACATTTGCATTTATTAAATTTCTTTTCTGCATATTTCCTAGTAAGGGTTTTGAAACCTAAACAGTGTAGCATTGGATTTGAAAGAGCAGCTATGTGGCTATATGCTAATTTTGGTTCCACCGATGAAATAAAAACAAAAATCAAGTCAGTTGGATTGACCTGAAATAGTTTTTGCTATTGCTGCTATTTTTGTCTTGTTCTCCACAAAAACAAACCAAAAGAAATGAACATGCATTCATAGCAGGACATTAAAATGTTTCAGATGATTCAAAATGTAGCATTTCATTTTTGAGCACTTCTAATAAAAGCCATAGAAACAATGGCCTAAATTCACAAGCATGTCCATTCCCCCACTTTATTTTCCCCAGTCATGCAAAGTATTGCATTCAGCCAAGTACAAATCTTGTATCTGCCCCTGAGAATCCAGCAGTCACCATGCTGTAACAGTACTCCCAAATGGCTCATGGCTTCTCTTGTGACCTCTGGTTCACTTTGAGGAGTCTAGTTCAGAGCTATGTGGTGATACCAGAGTTGCCTCAGTATAACACAAGCTAGCAGAGTGTATGGGCAAGCATATATGGTGCTCAATATGGTGCTCAGTACTGGTTGGGGGTTCTGCTCAATGTTGCATTTGTGCATTACAGATAAAGCTTTAGAGTGACTGATGGGACCACTTTCCTGAGGAGAAAGTCCTAGTCCAGATGTATTCTGAATCACTCAGAAATGAACTATTTCACCATCTCCAATGCTCCTTATTTTTTATTTCAGTCAAAATAACGTAGTGTGTATTTGGTTGGTCAAAATTTATCAATATAAAAGGCCATACTGAAATGGCGTATTTATTCTGGTGAACAGATAATTAATCCCTAAAATTCGTCAGACTCTGTATGAAAATGGGACTTGTATGGCTGTCATTGTCCAGGATGGACAGAAAGCAAATACAAATTTCTGTAAAGCATCTTGGCTGTAACAAGCCTTCAGACTATCAGAGAAGCATGAATAATTTGAGGGTTGTTGGAAATTTGTGGCCAATTTAAAAAAGAAAAAAAGAAAAGCTAGAATTTAGTGTTTCAAAATCCGCATTTAATTTTGGACTCCTATTAAGAACTTGATCTTCAATTTCTTCTTGGGTCTCTTTGTGTCATGTTCTGCGATTGTATTATCAAATTATTGCTCAGAAATAATGCATAACTGATGTGCCAGTCATCCTTTTTAACCATAGATGAGTACTGCTATAAGAATGTCAAGGAAAGATGTGAGTGGTTTTAATTTTTTAATTTTTTAGATCGCTTAATGGTTGTGCCATACATAATGAATGTTGCAGGCTCCATTATAGCTAGCTAGACTTCTGAGAGTGACTCATTTTAGAGATGCATGTAGGTTCTGTATTTATCCAGCGCTTTTCAGCCCGGTGTTAGCGCTTGACGGATATTAAAAGAAATTGATTTTTCAGCCTCTCTCTTTACCCTCCGTCTCCTCACTCCGTTTTATTTCTTTCATTTAAGAAAATGTTACAGAATAAATTTACACTGCATTTGCTTTCCCCACTCTGTTTCCTCAGATTTCCACTATTCACTGCTGTGTATCAAATCTGCTATGAAGGGAAGCCTGTCAGAGAGATGATATCCTGCCTTCAAAGTCATCCAGAGCACATATAAAATCAATCAGGCCATCGTACTAATGCAGCTTTCAGCCTTTCAAATTTATATCTGGGTTCAAGTGGATGTATCATTAAGCTTCGTTCAAAGCTGCTCAGTAGGCAACAGTAACAACATGAATGTCTCTGAATGGGTATTGGTTTTTGTTTTACAGCCTAGTTTGACATAGCATGCAATGTTGGCTTGGTGATTGCTGTTTTACTGGCTTAAATACAACTGTTTTAAGATGCGCAATGCCAAAGTTGCACTACATGTCTAGTGTATATACACAAATGTACTTTTTGCGTGTTCCTACACCATAAAACACAATGTTTGGTTGTCTCTTACTAAGGCCTAGTCCAAAATCCACTGGACGCCATGGGAAGAATTCCACTGGTTTTGATGGAGACTGAATCCAGCCTGTAACCTTGAAATATTAGGAGTCTTTCTATTAGAACTTCTAGAACTTCGTTTTATTCATACACATTGAAATGTCAACATTTTGCATGTTTATGATTATATTAATTTAAGCAATATTAATGCAAAACAAGTGGTAGCAGTTATTCAGGGAGCTACAGGGATATTTTAATGAACTCTGGTGAAGAATATTTTGATTTTTGGAAGCCTTTAAAACGTCAGACTATTTTGAAACCAATTTCTAAGTGAATTTAAAGTTTTTAATTACACTGTTTTAAAGGGAATATGCTAGACGGGGATCATTACCTCCCCTTCTGTTTTTTAATCCTTGCATTTTTGTATTTCTGCGTTTCTCCCTTGCTGTTCCCAGGAATTAGGCTCTTCAAGAATCCCATTCCCCCAAACAAGTGGGAGATGTTGACCTGGGGATTCTGAATCCTGGAGCCTAGGGTCCGTTGTAGTACCTGTGGTCGTTCTTCACTGGTATTGTTTGGTGGGTGGGGAAGGATACTCCTGGGTATCCACTGCTTCAAATTGTCATGCTGTGTTTCAAGCTTAACCATCAGCTATGAAGTGTTGCACCCCACACAACACTCCAGGGAATGCTGGGGGAATTCCCTGGTAGATCGTGCTTGTGTTGCCAAAAGGGTTATGTGCCAGTATGCTGAATGCATTCATTTCAGTGCCTGCCAGTGACTGACACATCAACTGGACTGTGGTCCTGAACCAGCCTCCCCAGAGAAATGATGAATTCTGAAGTTACTCTTGCACTGGACAAAACTTTAATGGGTGCTGGATCAAGTCCTTTATGACCAATCTCCCAGAAAGCTTCTCAAAGACATCTGTCTCTTTTATTCCCCAGGTATCTCAACTATTTTTTTTCAGGCACCTTTGCCTTATCAGGGAGGTTAATTTTATTTATTATTGGAAAATTTGTGGGTTTATGGAGTTTGGAGATGGGGTTGGCTTGGGTGGGGTTTTTGGATTTTTTTTTTTTTTTTTTTTTAAGATGGTTGATGCAGGAGAAGATAGATAAATGAAATCTGTCTTGTTTTTCTTGTATACTAAACTGTATTTTTTTGGTAAAATACATGCTAGGTACATAAAGAGTGGACTCATTCTTGCAGCTGGGAGACGAGGGTTAGCATCGAGATTTACAGAGCTCAACAAGAATGCCCATCTGCTCTGAATATCCACTTCAAACCTCTGAGCAGTATCAGAACTGTTCACTGTTCTCAGTGATGTTTTTAGACCAGCACAAATCCATCCTGAAGCTTTAAGTTGTCATTCAAAACTTGCTAAAACAAAGGGGATGCCTGGGAATAATTGTCATACTTAAGTAGCGTGGATTACTCTGAAATAGGCAAGCATTGGGGCAGCTTTCTACAGACAGGAAGATGCTTCAGCTCAGGGGTACCATTTCTTGTGCTCCTATAATGTTTTGCATTAATTTTTGGAAGATCTCATGAATGTCCTCAGATATTCAGGGATGTGAAAAGTTATTTTGCCTTATTTCTGATTTAGTGCTAAATAAAACAGATAATGGCCAGAAGTTAAGTAACATCAGATGTTTGTGGTGATTGAGGAAATCACTGGTAGAGCTGACTTGGAGTAAGCACTTGGAGTAAGCTTAGACAACTAAAAGGATGTTTTAAGATTGGAAGCACTGTTACACTAACGCACACGTGGAGCATACACTCCTCATTACTGCATAACTTTCAGTGTGTCTGCTTATGCTTTGTGTTGTTTTTTTTAATACCAAGCTGATTGGCTTTGCCTTTATATGTGTGTATATATACGTATATATATAAACTTCTTTTTACATGCAGTGTGTAGAACAGTAGCATTTTGTAAGATACATAAAGGGCTATATGAGCTAAATGTGGTAAATTAATATATATTTTAAGATGATTTCTTTATTATTCCAATACTACTACTACCACTGAAACCCCAAAATCTTAATTGTTCTTGTTTTGTACAGAAGCCTATTCTAAGGCAAATCCAGAGAAAAGGTTTTTATGGAATTCTTTCCTCCAATCTGTAATGATACTCTTCTTCTTTTCAGACGAAAAATGAGGTTTCAGTAACTAAAATAATTTATTTAAATTTCTATAGATACTTCACCATTTGTATTTGCTTTTCAGTGCTTGAAAACATTCAGCTTGGCACTAGATATTTTCCCCCCACTAATATTTACTGCTTACTAAAAGACTGTGATATGATACTGGAACTTAATCATTAGAATCCTGTTCTACAAACACTGTTTTGCCTAGTACTGGGATAATCTTAATGAAAACATTAACCCCTGTGTAAGGTTTTTGCATACAAGGTCGTGAATTTGTAACTAATTCTTGATTTATGAACATTAATTACTAAAGAAGGCATTATCTTCTAATGATACGTACTCAACTTGCCCTAGACATGTACTGATTTTTTTTAAAGATTGTGAATGTGTGCCTATTTGAAGAGTTAGTACAAATAAACATTTTTGTCTTGGGAATCACTTTGGTTTCTGTTGTCTCATTTTACATGGCTTGCCATTAATATTTTATTCACTTGATGGAATGTAGGTTTTTATGGATATGGTATGTAATGATAGCAGATATGAGATTGCCATGCAAGAACTTAAATTTTAAAAAGAGCTCTCTGACACCCAGATGTCAGCATTTTCATTTCTGTGAAACAATTTCAATGAAAATGGTGTCTTTGACCTCTGAAACAGATTCTTGTCTTCAGTTCCTTGAGTTGCTGCGTGAGCCACTGGAGGGCACTGGTGGGTAAATGACCAATTCCACCTGCTCTGCAGTTACTTTTCTTCCCATTTATTTCTGAATTTCCTTAGGTTCCTGTATGATTGCAACTGTCTCACACTGTGTTCCTTGTATTTGGAGATGGTTATAGTTCAGCACCAGATGCCTGTGTTGTAGATCCACTGGAAGTGAGAGAACAAGCTTGCTTACCTTATTACCTCTGCCCAAGGCCCTGTCTTGCCTGTTGTCTAAGACCCTCCCAGGACAGGGCAACAGTCACTACCTCAGCTCTTGGACAATATGGTCTGTGAGGTCTTTCAGCATGGCTTGAGGTCCTGTAATGTGCATCCAGCAATGCTTGTTTCTGTTGCATCTTGAAGTTGCTAGAGCCTGGAAAATGATGAGAGAACATTGTGCTCAGTTTTGTCAGTTTTTACATCAGCTAAAGGGGTGGGAGGTGTCACAAGTGTTTAGCCAGGGAAAGGAACGTCTACTACTCAGTTGTGGGGCATCATACTGTAAATGAAGTATGGTTTTTTTGGTGAACAGAATAATGTGCTGTGTACCTGAAAGCCTCAAAGTGTTTCATAAAATGAGAGCAATGTCCTAATTCCTCATTTACAAATAGGGATACTGAGGTAAAGTGCTTGCCCAGCAAACTGCCCAGCAAACTTGTGACTGGATGCATTTTATTCCTAATTTTAAGCCAGAGTTTCAGCCATTAGGTCACTTCTCATTGTACTTTTAGCTCAAAACTGTATTTATTTTAAGGGTGCATGAAATCAACTAGTAGAATAAATTTGTAGGTATCTAAAACATACCATCCAAAGTAAGTCTGAATCAACAGGAAAGTGAAAACCATCACAAAAGAATTAGGATGGATACATTTCTTTTATATGGGCATTACCTTCTGAAGGGGTGGTGCTTTCTCACCAAATTAGTGCTTACAGGCTGGGTGTCTTTGATCGTCTGACTGTAAATAACATCCGGTCTGGTCCTGAGATACAGGAAACATGGCAGACAAGAAGCCAGTTTCCAATGGCCTGTGCTGATGCTTCTTCATAATGCTCCCACCCTGGACTTCATTGTAAGGCTGGAGTCATATGAATGAAGTACATAGATATCACAGGGGCTGCTTAATGCTGAAATAAAATGTCCTGGAACACGAGGCATTTCATATTAATAGAAAGTGTAAGACTATTTCTCTTCTGCCTGTCTTCTGGCCGCATGGAGTTTTCTCCTGTGATTTGCCACGAGCTGATAGAAATGTGAGCACTAAAAGGTAACGCTTCTGTTTTAAATAATGGATGAGAAGAGTATCCGCCTTCGACCCCAGCATGTGCAAAGGAGAGGTGTTTGGCATTCAGACCAAATGAAAGCTAGTTCTCTTATCAGTCTGTTCTAACTTGATTTCAGATTCCTGCCAATATGCTTTGGGTAGGGACTTTCAGATACTCTCCATCTATCAGTCTAGTCCTGCTCTTACTGAAAGCAATTGCAGAACTGGATTTTAAGAGGAGAACTGTAGGGTGACGCCCAGCAGAATGGTATCTGCCGGAGTTCCCCATGTCTAAATTGAATTTACCTATTTGTTATATTTACCTATTACCTACAGTATCTGTTTTAGAGAGGTGTTGTGAAGGGGAATTGTAGGGAGCATTGGGAACCGTATGTTGATTATTTCAGTAAGTTATTAGAAACAGCATGAATTGCTGCTTTTAAATGTATGTCCTTCTTGTAACTCATGCTGAAGGAATTAGTGAATAATAAATAAAGCACAGCTCTGACCTGTGAGCAGTCTTGATTGTTTAGGTGGGGGTAACTGTCAAAGTCTGCTCAGTATAATCCGTATTGCACTCTGTGATGTTAGCGCTGCTTGTTGTCGCTACACTGTGTGTCTTGTTTTCTCAGCTGGATGGGAGTCATTTAGTGTCTTTCACCCAACAGCTTTCCTTCGTATCTATTCCAGCTTCCCTCTCATCTTTATGTAGCTACACCTATATGTGCTATTTTGTAGTTAACCTTAAGAAGGGTTCTTCATATCAAAAGGTGGTTGTGTGTACATGCACACGCATACGCCCATCTATACAGGTAAACCCCTACCTACCTTTTATTGAAGGTTTGTGTGCACAAGTAAGCCTTGTAAGGGGCTGGGAATTTTGCACAGGCTTTTAGCAAGGCCACCAGGAGGACCGATGATCAGCTGCCTTTGCACCAGCTCTGTCCATCCATTCATTTAAAGCTGCTTGGTTGTGAAGCTAGTGCA